CTCTTTTTTGTGTTTTTTTTTTGGCTGCTCCTCCCGGGAGTCAGGCGTGGGCGTCGGGCAGGGCGTGCAGGACGTGGTCCAGCAGCTGCAGGGCACGGTGCAGGTGCACCTCGATCCAGCAGGGCGTGCAGGTGATGCTGGCCCGGGGGTAGTCGGGCCCCCAGCCCTTGACGAAGCTCAGCCTAACGAGGCACAGGCGCCGCAGGTCGTCCACGCCGAGCCCCGCGGCCACCGACAGCCCTGGGGGGGCACGCGGGGGTCACTCCGGGGTGGGGTGGGCAGGGGGGCGTCACGGGGGCCTGCCGGCGCTGCGCTCACTCACCGATGGCCGGGGCGATGCCGCCCACCGAGCCGGGCCCGGGGATGCTGCCGGCCACGGCGGCCGCCTGGGCGGCGGCGGCGGCCTGGGCGGTGGCCGCCTGCTGCTGCATCTGCCGGTGGCACTGGCGCAGGTCAAACACCTGGGGGGACACGGGGGGACCCTGGGCAGGGTGGCTTTGGGGTGGGGGGGATCCCCTCAGCGTGCCCATGGGGGTCCCTCCATCTCTGGGTTCCTGCCGCTCCTAAAATCCGGGCCCAGATCTGCCCCCAGCCCTCCTGGGGGTACCCCAGGGCCCACCTCAGTGTGCCCATGGGGGTCCCTCCATCTCTGGGTTCCTGCTGCTCCTAAAATCCGGGCCCAGCACCGCCCCCAGCCCTCCTGGGGGGATCCCTGAGCAGGGGTGGGGGTACCCTGGGGTCCCCTCAGCATGCCCATGGGAGTCCCTCAATCCCTGGGGTCCTTCCACTGCCCAGAACCCCCAAAAATCCGGGTCCAGAACTCCCCCCAGCCCTCCTGGGAACCCCTGAACAGGGTGGCTTTGGGGTGGGGTCCCACCTCAGTGAGCCCATGGGGGTCCCTCAATCCCTGGGGTCCTTCCACTGCCCAGAGTCCCCGAAAATCTGGGTCTAGAACTCCCCCCAGCCCTCCGGGGGGACATGGGGGGACCCCTGAGCAGGGGTGGGGGTACCCTGGGGTCCCCCTCAGCGTGCCCATGAGGGTCCCTCCATCTCTGGGTTCCTGCCGCTCCTGCAATCCAGGCCCAGCACCGCCCCCAGCCCTCGTGGGGACCCCCGGGGAGCCCACCTTGATGTGTGCCCCGGGGTACACCTTGTGCACGGCGTCCCCGGGGGCTCTGCCCGCCTCCCGGTCCAGGTAGAAGCTCTGCACGAACACGGCGTGGTCGCTGCGGCAGCGCATCCACACGTCGCCCTCTCCTCGCCGCTCCAGCTGCACGCCCTTGCCGATGTGCAGCCTGGCCCAGAGCCTCAGCACCGACCTTTCTGCCCTGCTTTTCCCTCCTGGCCCCCTCTTTTCCCCATTGCCCCCCTTCCTCCTGATTTTCCCCTTCTCCTCCTCCTGCCCTATCC